AAATTCATTTTTTGTGCTTATTTTTGAGCCTATTTTAATTTATGAAGGGATTCTGCACATCTACAAGCAAATATCTTTCTAACCGTATGCGTAGATTTTTCCTGCAATGCACACGAGCTAAGAAAAAAGGTTTTAAAAAACATGCTTGATTAATATATAGAAGATACCGTACTACTTTAATAATTAGTTACCAAGTTATTTTTTCAAAATTTATTGATTTACTACGTTGAATTTCACTCATACAATCCTCAACAACGCGATATTCTAAAGTGAAATTTCAAAATCCTCTTGGGATTGACATAAAACAAAATCTTTCAATAACCTTTATACTATACTACCTTGTCCTTCTAAAAAGCTTAATTTACATATATAAATGCCAATCAACAAAAATTATTTTCCACATCTGGCTACTAAGGGATAATTAATTAAGTTAAGAAAATATTACCTTTCTTCAAAGTCGACTCTTGAAAACGCAATCAAAAGTTTGTTAGGTGAAGCCTAACCCTACAGTGGCCCGAGTAAATAAATTTTGGCCCAAAGTGGGTAAGTCAGACTGCAGTAAACTACTAATAAGGGGGCGGTCTGGGTGGTTTGTTGTGTTTTATTGCCCAAAATTTGACTTTGAATGAAAAGTTTACTTGCGAGAAGGATTATGTCGTATTTTTTCGAGTCGTTGTAAACTTATTGTATTGAAATTAGTTTAAAGACATCTCCACAATTAGGAAATTTATTCTTATCTTGCAGTATACTTTTTCCACTAATCCACTCATCTCTTGGCCAACAAATAGTTTGACGAATTAGTCATATCTTGGTATTTAACTGGATTTAATTTGAATGTATTCAAAATCTTTGATTTTTAAATGGACTATCGCATTTGGTACCCTTTCAATATTTCAGTTATGTTTTGCTCTTCATCAGGCTTTGATTGAAACTTAAGAAATCAATGTTTCGTAGTAAGTCTTTCAGGAATTGTTTCATAAGTCAATGTTCAATAACATCAATTGCAATATTAGATAGTTTTGCCCCTTTAGTAGCTAAGTCAACGTTCTAGGATGCAATTATTGTTGCTAAACTCGGCATTTGTGTATCTGGACTGGAGGCAATATCGACTTCATCAATTAGTCAGTGTTTACAGTTAGTTAATAAGCTGCTTACAGTTAAGCTACCTCTATGGTGCTCCAAGCCAGAAAGAATAGCAACAAGTTAGTTTTATTTCTTCTGAATTTGATTAACTAAACAGAACTAATTTTATTTTCAACCTCTTGAACTTGGGAAGGAAATTATTAACAGTTCTGAAATAATTGATACCTGTTGTTTAACCCGAAATTTGTATTGAATTGTCGAGACAAACTTCTAACTTGATTTTTTTGTTTGCTATAATTTTCTTACTGAACTTTGAACTCTCCAGAATTTATTTTGCTACACTCATTTCATAAACATAAATTAGTATCATATTCAGTCAAGATCAAACTTCTAACCTTTTGGTGTTTTCGATTTTTTAAAATGTTTCTTGCTAAATATTCAATTCGTTATAATCTGTTTCAGTACACTTCATTAAAAGCTCTATGAATATTATATTCGGTCATGCAAAATAAAAACTTAGGTTTTAGATATTACTTTACTATTAGTTTAATTATTCATTTATAGAATATTTTACATTAATATTCAGGATAGCAAGGTTTGAATCTTATATTTTTTCATGTAATACTTACCGTTCTCTTGAACCTTTTACTATTAACTATTTAAATTATTTAAAAAATTAAATTATTAACTATTAATTTTCAATTTTGTTATGGTTTCAGTTATCATAAACTTAAGACTTAAGACATTTAAAACACTTAACACTTAAGACTGTTTTTACAACGAAAATCTATAAGATACAAATGTCAACTACATCCAACCTAACTGCAATTTTCATTGTCAAAAACTTATTTCTATTCCCAAACTGTCAAAAATAGTAAAGAAACATGACTTACATGCAAACCCATTAAAACTTTCCTCCAGGGAAGTGACATCTCTATAACGGTAAATCTTTAACATAACATTTTGCTTGTGAAAACTTTCGTTTGAATGTAATATGTTTTCTTGCAATTCGTTTGCGAATGTGCTAAAATGTTATTGGGAAAACGTTTTGGTTACTAAAAAAAATGTTTTGGTAAGTGAAAAATGAAATAAGTTGAAAGACAAATACTAGGAGAAATTGACATACGATTACATGCAAAATGGCAAGTCTTTTAAAAAGATCGTTCTAGTTTGGCAAAATAATTGTAAAATTGGTCTTGCCTGTAAATAAAAATCTAACTTTGTTTTATCAATGAAGTATTGATACACTCATTAATTAATAATTAATTAATAATTACTTAAACTGGTTTTCAATTTTGCTAAGGCAGACAAGCAGTTAGTTTCCACAGCGTCTATCACTTTTTTGTAGTAAATGAGTCAATCATTTCTGTTATTATGATTGTTTTAGTGTACGTCATTCTATCGATATGTCGAACTATTGACAAGAACGCAACAATAAGCTACATCCGATTAATCGGTACATAATTTCGAAACGTGCGATTGCTTAATCAAAGTTTACAAGTTTGTTTAAAACAGCTGACTTTTACTCGGTAGGGGCTAAAAAGGCTTTTTAAGGGGTAAACAATTGTACTTTAGACCTGCAACGTGAGTATCAAAACAGCTGTTTTGTTGCAGTATTTATCTATAATTGTATTCATTGGATAATCAGGCAAACCATTATCCAATGACCATTATCATGACCAAAGATAAACGAACATAACCCTTAAAGCCAGTTAGTTATAGTCCAACCACAGTTTATATAAGATACGATTGCGGTCAGAGAGACGATGAAATTAATTCTGAATCTAGAGTAGGTTAAATCCGTGTCATTTATATATTAATGTAATCAAACAGTACTTGCTTGGTAAAATACAAACACCAAATGCACACTATGTCAACCAACAGCATGACTATTTTATTTAGCAACATGATTAAATTAAGATGTAGTTATAGATTTATTATGTAAGACAGTGTTAAGTGTGTTTGTACAAACATTACGGTGCAAAATTCCATCATGTTAAAGCTTTTACTCTTATTTATAGCTCATTCTGTACACACCTTGTCTGCACCTATTTGACCAAATACTTGTACCGCTTGTAGAGTTAGATTAGTATTTTAATGTTGGTTTTGTCAGTGGACAAAACCAACATTAAAGTACATGTGAAACATGAATGTTGATATTATATCATAGGTTTTCTGTGGAACTGTGTCCCTATAGTGATAGGGACACAGTTCCACAGAAAACCTATGATACAATATCAATATTCATATTCTATACATAGCCCAAATCAGTATTGCTATCACGTTAAAACTGTGTCCAAAACGATTTATAGATCCGAATAACAATTCAACCGATAATTGATAGTAGGTTCTCTATGGTACTGTACCCAAAACAACCTATTTGTACCAATTGGTTCTTTTCTCTTTTATCATAACCAAGAAGTACAGTTTATATAGTAAAATCTACCATAAGGAGAGTAACACCGTAGTCAATATCAATCTCCTCAAACGTGTCCAACATTTAACATGCATAAAAACAAGCTGTGATTTTATAATTGGATAAGAAATTTACTTGCAGTCGATACAGTCGATTAATGTAACAACGCTGCTAATAATCAGATAAAAAACTTGGGAGTACTAAAATAATTACGGTTGATCAAACATAAAATTAAAAAACAGCAAAAACTCACTCCGCCACAGAGTTTTTGCTTACAAATTGGAGAAAAAGTTTGGTGGAAAAGAGAAACACTGTCAGTTATTTTAAACTTGGACAAACTTGTTACAGAAATGATTAAATGTTGAGAGATTGTTGTTCGTCGCCGGAGGTCTCCGATGAATGATGAATGAACTGCAACTTTTTGACATTTCCATTTGGTTTTTACCGATGTTTTTGTTTTGGTCACATCAGCTGTAGAAATAGAACGATGCTACAATACCGGTTGGTGTATATTTCGAATCAATTGGCTAACAATAAATATTAGGTTATATTACCTTTTGTTTCCCCAATTTATCTTGTGTGTGTATCTCTAAGTTGTTATCATGCTTTCGAAGGCCTTGATGCCTTCATTTTTCAAGTTTACATTGACATTAAGCAGTAGTTATCTTATTCAAAATGACCATGTAAAATGAAGCCATCAAGGCCTTTGAAACAATGACAGTTAAAATACAACAACTAAATCACATGGCGACCCATGAGGTAATATAAACTACTATTGTAATAACCATTGTGAACCAGAAGCTACGCCACAATAAAATCTCAAGTATGACACAAGTTACCAATCATATTGAATTGAAATAGCTGTGGCCAAGTGTGTTAACCTATGTTAACTTTTAATCAAACTGTTTGTGGTAATATCGGCCTTGTAGTTTCAAAGCAAAATTCAGCTCTCTAACCAAAGCTAGCACTGTTCCTTCTAGGTTGTGGGGTAAGTATCAGATAAACTTTGAAAAGGGCAAACTTAACACCCCCAACAACATTGTTAACATTGATGTTTGTTGTTGTTGTTGTTTGTTATCGTTGACACATAGACTCATTACCTACATGACCCAACTTGTAAACCATAAAATGCAGTTACACGACTAATTTTGTCCCCACTTTAAATTAAAAGGGTATACCTACCCAATCCTGTTCAATACCATTAAGTGTTACAATTGTTTCAATCATAAATCATTTATTCTATTTATGATTGCTTTTCTAATTGATGATACAACATCCAAAATTGATACTATTTCTCTTTCACTAAATTTTTAGATTTGTTCAACGCAGTAGGTTTGTTTGATGTTTATCATTAAACATTATCGCTATGAAAATATATTCAAATTTTCTCTTTCAATCACATGAATTCCTTTAAGTCTCATCACTACCTCACTCCTTAAAAAGTCTAATGAATCTCTCTCAATGTAAAAGACTACACTTCGTAGCAGTTCTTGGAGTATCCTATGAGTATTTTCTTGAGCTTCAAGCAGCTGGTGTATCATGTCACTATCTACTATTTCTCTTCTCTTCACCGTCAGACGCTGACGCTCTGACCTTGACCTGGTTCAGCGGTTCAGCCTCTATGCTGACGACAGGTTCTGAGTAGGATTGCTGAGCACGGGGAAGGAATATTGCTTTGTAGAACAACGCTGTGGTGACTCCACTCAGCAACGGCCCCAGCCAGTATATCTGTGAAGAAGATTGGGTGGAAATTAAATTGGGAATTAGTAATGCAGGAATCGAATCTGCTATGTTTCTAAGGAAGCTATTATTTTGCTTGACCGTGATCTAACTGGAGTGGATGTGTGTACTTATTCGAAGTCTAAATGAGAACAGATTTGGGGCGAGCTGGTAAAATATTTACTCACACTCAATTAGTTTTTATCATTCCCGCTGAGTTTTTGTGATCTCACTAGTCATTTAATTGAGCGCTAGTGGCTTGCAAGAGCAGAAGCCCCTAAAACCCCAGTTTAAAAAAATATTGTAATATCATAAATTGAACAAACATTCTTATCTTCGTTAAGAAGGCCCATCCTTTTATAGATAGATGGACAGCAGAGGATGGTAGATTCCGAACCCCCAAGTCGTATCACACATCAAAATCTGTGATTATTGAGATTTGAACCCAAGACTCGCACTCTAAACACTACCGGACCCACTATAGTCATAATAATCTCACAGAGTCCAAATAATTAAAATCCAAGCGGTCCCCATAATCAAACGTTAATGTCCAATCAATTAAAGCTGTGAGTTATGCTTACCCAATGACCAGTCCAAGTTCCTGTCCAGAGCGCAGGTGCTAAACTTCTAGCAGGATTGAAGCTGGCACCAGTGTATTGACCCTACAAGTTGAAAATATCTAATTACAATTTGGACCTAACCCTCATTACTTTTGCATTACTCTATAGCACATTAAACATTTTTTAACTCTATAAAGTACATTTTAAGTAAGTAGGCCTACCGATGTACTTTTATAGAGGTAAAAGACAGGAATAGTATAGTTTATGTTATGTATGTGTTTTTTAATTTTATTTACAAATTTCTTAAGAATGTTACTTGGTTCATGTTTTGTAACGGAGAGAGGTCATACACTACCATTCAATAAATTAAACATACTCTACTCCACTTTTGTTGTATTATTTTAGTGTCAATTTCATTAGCTGCTAGTCAGAGTAAACTAATATTTACTACATTGACATGTAAAAATAAAGTAGACGTAAATACAGCTAATTTTTGCCTTTTCTTTTCGTTGCCATGGAGACCGATTATTTACTTCCAAAACCTACACCTTGGGGCACAGCTGTTATTATCAAAGAAATGAATAGATCTATTAGTTAACCAGCTGACCAATTGATGATCTACAATTTGTAGAAAATATAATCACTGTCGGGTTCTTAGTTTTTGTGTAGGTATACCGAGGAAAAAGAGATATACGCAAACAAATAAACCTTATGATGTGTATAAAATTATAACCTCGAAATATTTCTTGGGTTGTCTTAAGGCTGCTTAGAATCCACTAAGTTCTTTAATGCTCTTTAACTCTATTTCATCCTTTGTGGCTTCATGTGTAGGCTTAGAACCCTTTGTAGATTTACCAACCCGCAAGAGGCTAAAGTGTGTGTGTGTTTCTCTTGTGAAATATATCATTTTAACGAAAAGTTGTTTATAACTAATTACAACAAGCTTTACCGCTGGAGAATTTATCGGATCTCTATTTTAAACAATCTTATCTATGAACTATTGGGAGGGGATTTATAAAATATTGTTTTTTTTTATAAATAAGATAATCTTCAGTTTGAATGTGTTAAATTAATTTCTTGTTTGGGTTCAAAAACCTTTTTAAAAACGCAGTCTTGAAAATCCACAAACCTATGTCTTGCTGCAGACCTATGATTTATTATTTTCTTTAGTATACAAATTCTATTGTTTGTCAGTTTTTTATTTTATTCACTTTTTACACAGATAACATACCTATGCTGATATAACTATTATACTACTTAAGACACTCACTGTTCCAACACACAGCGTCATCAGCGTAGTTCCAAACTTGAGAGGGGCGGAGTCAAGCCTGTGGGCGTTCCTGGGATCTACGCATGCGCAGACGACCAAGATCAGTACGCAGGATGCCACAAACTCCACGCCTAGCGCCTGCACAGCTGACAGACTGGGGTGGGGGAGGGTGCAGCAGAACCCGGGAGTCTTGAAGGCAGTCAGATCTGGAGGGGTGAAGCTCTGCAAGTAATGTATCGTAATTAACTCAAAATCTGCTATGTGGACCAGTTAGAGGCAGTTCCTGTTTTTGCTCAAAGCTTAAGAACGTTTCAGTAGGGAAAAGTAAACTGCGTATTTCCTGCCACTTAATACTGTTCAGCCTGATGAAACAAGAATTTAAAGTAAATAAAATAACAAAGCACTACCAACCGAGTGTAACATGTTTAAAAAATGCCATCTAATGTTTGATGACATTTTATAGCTAAATAGTAAAAGTGGTGGGGATTGTCTTTTGAAAAAAAAACCAGTTTTTGTGAAAAAGTACATGAATCAAAGATACGATAAATGAAGTCATCAGTGATCAGTGGCTAACTGTCATTGGTTTCTTCGTTTTCATTCTGTTTTCATTCATTTATTCTGGTTTAGGAAACAGTACTAACATTAGTAACAGTACCAACCACACTCTATCTTAAACGGTCAAGCTATTATCATTGCTTGGATTTAAAAACAACTTGGTTTTTTATAAACAACCCCAGGCACTTTACCATATTTCATTCATCCTTTGTTCATATTCAGCTTCAAATGTATATACCTAAATGCTTGATGCCTAAATAATGCATAAAACCATGCATAATGCAATAAAGCATAAAGTCTAGCTCACTATATTCCAACCACAAAACAGTGGTTCCTTTCAATACAATAGGAAGTTTTCAGATTCTTATTCCATGAAGAGATATGTTTTACCAAGGCTTAATCAAACGTTCTAATAGCCTATGAAGGTACTCACCAACAACATGCCATACCCCAGCAGTGCCCCGGCTATCTGAGAAACACAGTACACCCCCGCCATGGCCGGAGTCACGTGACCAAGGGTGAGAAGAGCGATGGTCACGGCAGGGTTGATGTGAGCTTGGCTGATATGGCCGAACATCTGGAGAAATAAAACTACATTGTAAAATAGAGATAATAAAATAGAGGGAATCAAAATGTTATCAAGCTGGTTAGGATGACGTTTGAGGTGAAAATGAGATTTTCATGTATCTTTGCCCCTAAACTTATATAACTACTAATCTACTTCTCTTTTCTGGCTCCTGAGAACCATTGAAAATACTTATGATGAGGGAAATATGGGTAAAATTCCGTCTACTGTCTACTTTAGGAGAATTACATTCAAAACTAAGCCATTGAGGACCAACCAGTCATTTTTTACAGACTACCACATTATTCCTGAAAATAATTTAATCTATCTTTTGCTGTACTGTACAGTATATTCTCATACTCTGATTTGTAAAACTGATCAAATTCCATTCTGCATTTTTATTTTCTAAAATCCTATCAATGGAAAGACAAACTATGGATATATGGTTCCTTAGCTCGACCGGTTTAGTGATGACCTCTCCTTTTGGGAAAGGTTCGTTCTAGCTGCATCAGGAATAGACTAGGATGTTAACAAACTCTTAAAAATAAACGTTTGTTTTCAAGCAGCCCATTGCTGACGCCATCGAACTTAGGAATGAATAGCCCTTTGTATTTGATTGGGATGAATTTTTTCAACCGTTCTTTTAGGATTTGCTCATTTTTCAAAATCAAAACAACTTTGTTGGAAACTCACCTGTATTATAGTAGCGACTGCAACAGCTGTCATGATGGCAGGTTGTAACGTTGGCAAAGGCATTTCTGGGAAGAAATTTATTTGACTCATGCAGACAAAGAACACCAGCAGAGCAGTTCCTGCCACCTCGGCAAAGACCACCTCGGCCACCTGCCATCTGTAGTCATTGGACTGTAGGGAAGTCCTGGACATCCTGAGTAATTTATAGGAAACATTGCAAAATGTTATTCTGATTCATTCAGAAGAAAAGTGGAAGTAGATCTGGCATTGCCATTGGAATATTATTAGTGTATGCCTACTTGAAGGTCTTAACATAATTAAACACTCCAGATGTCAACCAATTCTAAAAATGTTTTCGTGAATCGTTGCTAAAATCTGTCAATGACTCAATCTTGTACAGTACTTTAAGAGAAGGGGTTGCAAGACTTCGTCATCTAAAGTTTTATATTTTTAACATGGGATTAAGGAGAACAGTTAACCGTTTTACCATTACTAAATGACTATTTTAAAACTACTTAAAAATAACTTCATCATTACTATGAATCATGAGATTGAGAACAGTTTTGATGCAGTTTATAATTTACGAGTTTGGATTTTGTTACATTTTGATCATCAAGTTGAATAATTGTTTGTAGTTTGACGTTTTAATACATAATTAAACTACAAAGTAAGAGTGTTAAATCCCCAACTTCCACAGCAAGTGAATTTTATGTGGGTCCATTTTCTCTAAATCTTAGATGTGGTATGTTCAGTATACTAACATTTCAAAACATTCATGCCTTAGAACTAAAGACTTGCATGTTAGGCCAAATTTACAGCCAAATACAGTAAATGTTAACCAATTACATTATTTTTAAGGTTGTACATACCTAGGGTACTACTCTATACACGCTCAGAAGAAACACATTAAAAATTCCACTTGTCAAATAAGATTCTCTATTACTATTTTATTAAAACACTAGATAAAAGGTTGTGCCTTTGTTAATTACTTGGTCTTCGAGCAAAGAAATGTGTTAACCCCTCATCAACAGCGTGGTTGAGATTAAATTCAGAGCTTTAGATAATGTTTTATTACCAGCAAGTAGAAGATAGTTGATAAGTAGGCAAACTATAATGAAAATTGACTTGGGTATATTCAAAACCTTATAGCCATAATGAAATCCTATCACATTTAAATCTCTAGAAGTGTTATCTCATTAGTTGTAATAGTTCGATTGGACGTAAAAAATGGGTAAATACTAGTGTTATAGAAATTAAGAGAATGTCAGGCGGAAACTATTTTTCTGCAAACAACGTTTGTATTAGTTACTATTGCCGATTTAAATCACAGCACTTTCATCCCTATAAAAAGTGTAGTTATAGTTGTAGAAATCGTACTGTAGGTACTGCAATAAATAATATTGCAATAATACATGCCATATAGTTATGCATAATTTGTAATTTGGCCTTTTTGTATTGAATATATGACATACGTAATTCAATGTAATGATGTAGCTTAATTGCAATTCTTTACGAAGTCTTACTGAACTTTCGTTAAATTTTGATGCATTTTCATAGTCAATGGACATTGTTAACTACCAAGATACATTTCTTAAATAAAAATAAAATTTGGCAAATTAAGAGAAATATTCCATTTGAACTCTGAACAACCTGAATGGTATACAAGCTGATATTTTATTCCCATTGCCTACCTCAATTCGAGTATTCCTTTGTGTTGTTCCGAGACCTGCCAGGAGGCGCCTAGTGAGCTAAATAACTCATTATCTACAGACGAAACACTGATAAGAAACATCGGTGACTCTTATAGGAGTGGTAGGCTTAGGGTCTGTTAATTGTCTCAGCTTTGTCCGCTAAAATTTCAAAATATATGGCTGGAAAGTTTCAATACACCGGGTTTTAAATGCTATTCTCGAATAATCCAACCGTACTATTAACTTATAGAATAATACAACATACATGATTGATAAAGCTGTCCAAGAGGGTTAGGTCTCTGCCACCAAAGCTACAATCCTTAACCTAACTTCTTCAGGAACTTATTTAGGAGTCTGACACCTCTTTCCGAAGCCATAATCGACTGGTATTGGAGTCTCTTAAAATCCATATCCAATGCATCCAATAATTCCAAGCGTACTTCTACCTTTCGAGTCAGAGATAAATCCAAATTAAAATGCTCCTGTCATAGTAAGTCGTTACAATGTTTTTAACATTTGATATATTCATCACAAAAATGTCAACCACTCGTTTAGCATCATACCTAACCTAGGCCGGATTTGTACTTAACGATATTTTTTCCTTTCAAAAAGCCAACATATCACTTTCAATACCTCACTTTCGTGCAGCTAGTGCAATATTTTAAACCAAAACTTTTTGTTGGGGTTTGCTCGCATTATTTGTCAATCGTTTTGTATATGTTACTAGCTGTACCCACGGGCTTTGTCCCGTTTAACTTTATAAGTGAGCTTGTTCGCATGGCTCAATCACGACCTGGTTGAAGTTCGTTCGCTACGCTCACTCACCTTTAGATTGGAGCTCGTTCGCTGGGCTCACATGCCTTCAGGTTAGCTCGTTCGCTATGCTAACTCGCCTCCAGGTTGAAGTTCGTTCGCCACGCTCACTCACCTTTTGGTTGCAAATTAGCTGTTGTCATAAATTAAAAAAAAAAAAAATAGTGCTGCACCCTGTTGGTAATCCTTGTAACTTTAATGCTATTGAACATCATAGAACAGAACCAACTTGTTTAATTGAAACAGCTGTTAAGATTCATTTATTCCAATTAAATATGAGTACTCATAAGGTTAACATGGGAAACTCCAGAGCCACTGGGGTCCCGAGAGTCCGATCAGAATAAAAACAATTTAGTTTTCCTATTTAATGCCTAAAGAATCAGTTTACCAAATTTCAGCCTCCTAGGGAAATGGGAAGTGGGAGAATTAGTGATGAGTGAGTGAGTGAGTCAGTCAGTCAGTGAGGGCTTTGCCTTTCATATAATATAGATTCATTATGGTCGATGAGTGCTTAGAGGGTTTAATATATTTCTCACAAAAGGATTGCAACATGCTTACTTGTGTTTGAGAAGTTGTATATTTCGATATGTGAGAAACCGATATAAAGCCCAGATTTAACCAAACATATTGCACTTATTAAGTCACGTACTTTCAGACTACTCAAGTCCTTGAAGTGAAGGTTCATTACAGACAATAGTCTGGTCACGTGGTCGAGTGATGGATGACTCTGATTGGCTGTCAGGGAGACGGAAACTGGCTGTGATTGGTGGGTTTTACGTTAAAACTGTAACCAATATTGCGGTGCTTAAACAGCTGTTTGGTATATTGTAAACCATTGCACGGATTGAATTGTGGAAAATGTTGTACATTTGTTTAATTTTTTAAGCAAATTATTAAGTTAAGTAAACTCGTAAACAATTGGTTACAACAGCTTGTCATGATACATTTCTTCAATGTCGTGGTATAAATATAAAGCCGCTCGCAGAGTCTCAGACGACTAATAACAATTTTTTTTAAATCACCTTAAACACGTCAGGCTGTTAACATTACTTAAGCGTGTTTTGAATAAAACTCTGCTCTGTTTAAAAACTCTGTATAAATTATTTAATGATGTTACACCTCGTAAAACAACGTAAAGGGAGTTTATTTCGTTCTCCATACTACAAGGTCAAGAACACTATAAGGACGAAACAAGCTCTTATCATAGACAAATAGAATTAATTATAGACCGTCAGCAGTGCTGCAGTTAGCATAAGTTCTGGCATCCACCGCTGCGAGTGCCGTGTAGTTACGTATCTCGTGCGCCCAGCGGTGGACGCCAGAACTTACGCCAACCGCAGCACTGCTGACGGTCTATATTTAATTCTATTTGTCTATGCCCTTATTAAGTTGGTAGCCCAGTATCTTCCACCAACTTCATTGCCGATCAGCTGATATGCATTGCTGTTTTGTTGTCTAAGGTTTAGTGTTGTACGGAATTTAATTACCTAATTACCTGGGTAATTACCTTACCCAATTATGTGGGTAAGACTCAACATTGTGGTTTCTCAATCTCAAATAGTAAGGACTGAAGGCCTACGGTGCTGTTTTCTACAGATCTGGTTTCCTTAAATTGTTAACAAGAACTAAATTAATTTGATTTATTATATATTGGAATCACATCTGGAAACTTAAACCTATCCTGACATAAAGCCAATTATTTACTATTAATGTATTTTTCTACAAAAACTAAAAGAGTATATTCACAATAAACCAACAATAAGACTAAATAAATATCCCAGTATACAATGCAACAATGTACGTCAGCTTATCGGTAACGAAATAAAGAAAACCGCTTGAGGTTTCTTACCAAATTATGAACTAGTTTTTCCCAAATAAATAGTATCTCTTGACATCTGTAATTTTAATTGTTGCAATCATTTCTAAGTAACGTCTGAGTTTTGTCTAACAAGTGGGATTACATACTACCTAACAGAGTTAAGCTGACATCAGCCTCGAGTTACAAGTTAGACATACTAATCTGCATATGTATGACGTCACAGGCGAACACAATGTATACAACCCCTCGTCATCTCGAAAGGGAATATAATATTTGTTTTAAAGCTTGGATTTCTTTACCAGTGAAATAATCATACTAATATTATTAGAGAGAAAGTTTGGATGTACCATGGATGGATGGATGTTTGTGACAAGTAAACGCGAAAAATACTAAACCGACAGGGTTGAAATTTGGTATGATGTTAGCTGACATTCCCGATAAACATATAGACATATTCTTATCTCAAAAATCCTTTCGCTCTCCACCCCAGAGGCTATAGAGTTTCCCATGTTAACCTTATGAGTATTCATATTCAAATGGAATTTAAGAATATTTTGTCAGCTGTTTCAACTGTACAAGTCGGTTCTATGATATTCAATAGCATTAGAAAGTTATAAGGTTTACCAACAGGGTGCAGCACTATTATTATTTTGCATTTATGACAGCTAATTTGAACCAACTAGCAACATAAAGCTGTGGTACCCAATGAGAACTTAACTTTTTTCTATGGTTTAGGTGCAGTGGCAGAACATTATGGAACTTTATAACAAAGAATATTATTATGTAAAAATATAACACTCATTCCTAAGTTAAGAAAAGTGCTGTGAAAGTCTTTCAATTATTCCCGCGGTTATTTAAAGTTGACTGAGGTATTTCAAAGAATCTGCGTTGCGAAGATGAACTACTTTAGTTTGCAGGAAACATAACATGGCTTATGAGCTTTGTTTAAAATTTCTTCTGGATTTACTGCTTTCTCTAAAACTTTAAAGTTTTGTTGATCACACCACCTGCACTTAGCATAAGTTTTGATTTTACCTCCTTTATCTTTAACTTTATTATATTATTTTTCCTTTCTGTGTTCATAATATGTAGTTCAATTTGTGTATTTGCATTACGAGCTTGTTTTTGCTTATTTTGAAAATAAATTGATAACTTTAAAGGGCTCAAATATTATTTACATCCTGGAGGTTCTGGTTAATCGGAGTTTACCAATAGATCTATGTGATTATCGTCATGTCATGGTAGTCTGGAATCTTATCAAACATTATATTAATAGTGTTTAAAGGTGACTTTTAATGTGCGTAAGCTATACCTATGAGAAAAAAAATTAAACAATTCTGATTGTCTGGGTTGTCAAGTGGTTATAGTGCTCACCTTCGAATCTAGAGGTCACCGGTTCAAATCAGTAAGATCGATTATATACCAAGATCCAATTTGTGATTAAGCTATCAATTAATTATGATATTTAACGAAAGGTTGACTTTAGGTAGTAAGAAGACCAGGATGGACCGTTTCCTTACATAAGAACACAAATTAAAATATTTTATGCTATTCACAACGATATAAACAACTCAGTAGTTAGTTTACATCGTTGGCTATTCAAGACGCTATTGACGTTATTAACCCAACCATTAAATTGGTAACACACAACAGCGTTAATGTTCTACTAGTGGCTTGTGAGGACATAAGTACCTAAAAAGCTCAAATGTAAAACAAATTACTGTATTGTAATATCCAAACGAACTCAGAATCAAATTATCTATGTGTCAGGATAGATATCCCAGTTATATCTTTTGTGTTAAAACAGTGTGTTGTTTGTCTTTGTTTGCGTTTTTGATGGTATTTTCGTAGAAAATGGAAACTTCACGTACGATATTAAAGCACAAACCGAAAGCATACTAAATTTATCACTCAAAACAAAATTTCCAAATGTTTTCTTCCGAGATTAGGAAATGTTGAAAGCGATTTCCGCTGGTTTTCGCTCTGATTCACAGCTTCTGCGTAAAGATTTATTGGGGTTTCAATTCAATTAAATTGAACTTTTTCCCGATGTTGCCGAGTCGAATCCTTTCACAAATTCCACTTTACTTTGCCAAATTTACTCTGGGACTCAAAGATAAACTATTCCAGGTTCTGTTTGTGTGGAAGTCGTTAAGAAAATCGTCAATTTTAAGATTCTTTGGAACTTTCTATGTTTCAGAAGCTTGTTGAAGCTGTTTTGTAAGGTCTGACTTTACAGGATTTTTTAATTTTGGTTATAAACTTACTCCATATCAGTTGAAATTGTGTTTCCAGTTGTTTAAGAGATTTTATTGAACATGTTTTAATTTAACATAAAATTAACACCCCCATCATATCATTAACATATTGTAGTTCCTGAAATGTTATTGCAAATGTTATCAACCGGATTACAGGATTTAGACTGTGTCCCGTATGTAAACAGCCAAATTCCAGGAAATAGTTCTACGGGTTAAGAAAATAATAAAGGGAAAATCAAAATATTTTTTTCCAAAATCACTTCATTAACCTGATATCCACCATATTGTATTTTTCACATAAACATTTTTGTCTTTAAATATTTTCAATGGATCTTTATGCAGCTTGGTATGTACATTAAGGCAGAAGATGCCCATTTGAGGAAAAAATATATCGTGATCCAATAATTCAAAATTTCAAAATGGCGGTCATTGAATTTTTTATATAAATTACAAGAAATGGTTGATTTTATGGAGAATTAGTATTAGTGCACAAAAAATATCATAAACACACGGATTACAGGAATTCGATTTTTCATTATAACGCTAATCAAAATATTCAAATTCAACACGAAACACAATATAAACAAAAGGACAGACCGTTTTAAATAAATGACTGTTACAATATTTTTTAGTATTCGTGGCTGTTATGATACAAGTGTTAATTTACGAACCCCTAAGCTTAGAGGTTTGTTTACCTCTGTAAAAGTTAAAGCCCAGCTGACTCAGCTGACATTGCAGGAAATATTTTACGGTGTTTGGTCTAAATTGAAACGTGTCATAGAAACTAACAAACCTTTCAATGTAAATAAATCAACCACGCCTCATTATCCTTGGAATTGATACAGCTTACTTTGTTTTTTGGGATTATAAAATGATCAACAGGACTTAATTTATAAAAACAATCAGTATCAATACCATTACTTAATCGCTTTAGGCATTAGGCGTTTAGGTATCCTACCTATATTGATACCAGCTGCATTCATATTTTTAATGCAAAAAGAAAAAATATAAGAAGTTTATAAACATATGAACTTATCTATTACTAAGACTTCTTAACTTATATATTAGACATTGGTTATTTTAAGTCTCTTTCTTCAGAATGAAGTTAAAGAAACTAAAATAATTCTAAAACTTAAATTCTTCCTTCCAAAACTGCTTTCGTCGAATTCATGGCTACTTAAAGATTTATGGAAGTTTTCATTGAATTAAACAGGACTTTTCTCCATTGTCAAGGCTGCTTTCATAAATTCCACTTTACTTCGAATCGACCATGTTTAAAAGATAAACTTTCCAACTTCCAACTGTTCAACTTTGAAACATATTTTAAAAGGGGAGAACATTTTGTTTCCTGTTCCTTCAAAACGGATTAGCTTTGAAAACTTTGGATATGTATAAAATGTTAAACAATTGTTTAACATTTAGATAATTATCTTAACCAAATCTTTTTCCATATTATTTTGTACAAAATAAATGTATTTCATTAGAAGAATAATAAAATTACGGCATCTTGAAAATACGTAATATGTATAAAAACCTTTGGTTATAAGTATAAAGTACCTTCTGTAAAGGATTAAAATAAATCACCTACCCCTGCAGTTGACGGGATGAATATTTCAACCCGTTTTTAATTAATACGGGTAATCTCTAAAAACCAGACTTAGAAGTTTTTCCTTCTGTAAATTTGACTAAGTATATCTTATATGTTATCGTAAACCTTTTTAACGGGTAATTCATCTTTGCTCACATAAGGGTCGGGAAATCGTTTGACTTATAACTAGGTTAACTTAGTTATACATAAAAAAAGATTTGTTAATAAATTGTTAGAGTCCTTGTGATTAAAAGATTACTGGATCCTAGAAGTAACAACTCATTGTATTTATTAAGGATATCAAAGCCTACTTGAAGTAAAAGAGAACTTTTGTTTCCGCAATGGCATCTGTTTTGTCTGTTTTTACTCAAATTCCATGATATGTTTTGCATAAGGTTGATACAGCTTACATTTTTAAGATTATGGTGTTACAGTTTTTCGTATTCATATGACATAATTTTGAAAATATTGACCAACTGTACACGCAGTAGCATTGATCAAATATGATTGTTTACCCCCAAGTGTACCTATACATTAAACTCCCTTAGAAGAAAGAAAAAAGTACAGTATTACCATCGATCATGAAGCTTTTCGTAATTCCAATAATCAATGCTATCTCCAGAGGCTACAGTGTTTAGAAAGTAGCCTTTCTCTGGTTCGAACTAGCTGTTCAGCAGTGTAAAGTGATAAATTGTTTTTCTGTTTGGTCCAAATTGACCTATTATGTTTTAAACTCCTTGATACTAAGCTTATTTAGTACACTTTTTTTAATAGTTAGTATGTTTTGCGTTGTAAAAAATATATTATAAAATATGATTCGGTAGAACTGATAAAATATGATTTTGAACAGTAGCAGAAACAATAGTTTTAATAATTGTAGGTAGGTGTGTAGCTATCTTGTATGGAGGTGATAACCTAAAAAGCACTGATAACAGACGAAATGCAATCTAGACTTAAGTCATCAGCTAACCTGGTTCTTGAGATTAGAAAAGGGCTACAATAGCAACAACACGGTTAAGTGTGCTACATCTTATCAATAAGTTAAATAGTTGTCTTCAGGGCAAATATAATCATTATCCTCAACAAATTTTAATAAACAATTGTACAAAAACTACAAACAAATTAACCTATTTCAATCCTCTAAATAAAAATAACAATAATAGTTCCGTTCAAAATTCCAGCTACGTGATGTACAAGTGTGAGCCGGATGGACGGGAATGTCAGTCTTAATGTCTACAGTTTTGTGTTGTATTTAGGCTCATTATCGCTTCTCTTCCCTCTCCCTTTTGGAGGACGAAGGGTCGTTTACTTTGACCATGTTGAGAGGTTCAACTTCGTATAGAAGGTTGGGGTCTTGTGGTCTGTTGAAGATGGCTTGGTAGAAGATGGCTGTGAAGAAGCCACTGAGGCAAGGCCCTACCCAGTATACCTGAAACATTAGGAAATGTTTACTAAGCTCTTTTCAAGGGCAGATTGCTTTGGACTGTACGGCTATGGTCTTCTCTAGTTCAAGGCCGAGTTGTTGGTGTGGCAATGTCGCACCGGCCTGTTGCCATGGTAACAACAGTAATAATAAACGTGTAAACATGAACACTTCGCAGAAGTTCCATTATGAATCAGTACAACAGCTGTTTCAGTGAGCCGGTACAGCGGTTTAGCCACTTTTGTCACGGCCTTGTGAGTGTGTGTATTTTTCTTGCTAAGATCAGCTGTTTTACCCATACCCATTTACTAAAAACCCAATCACCAAAAGATCTGTTATACATTCAGCATCCAATAGTCAATGGTTATACTTAAAGACAGTAAGGATAGTGTATGGAAAGGTCAAGATAGTTATTTGAAAATGGCGTATGAACACAATCTTTTACAAAAAAAGGAGTACTGTTTATTTTCAAGCACTTTTTTGAGTCGAGCTATGTTTACAGGCAATTGATTAGGCCTATACTATACATACATAAAATATATATTTACCCAATGACTGGTCCAATTTCCAGTAAATAGTGCTGGACCCATGGAACGTGCTGGGTTCATACTGGCGCCTGTGTAGGGACCCTGGAAATGAAATTACAAAACCAATAAGATTAACTCTACTTTTAAAATACCAGAAAAGTAGACAAATATAAAATTAACTAAAATTGAAATGCTGTGCACAAGGCGAGGTAAAGAAACTTTAAATTTAAATAAAGTGTTGGTTTAACTGACAGATATTTTCTCTTTTGACAACTCAAATTTATCAGTCAATGTTTTGTGTCAATACAAAGTTAGCGTTATTGCATCAGTTAATTTACTTCTGGTTTTCTATCAACTCCATTTTCAGTTTTGCGACTTGTAAAATCTTTTTTTAATGCTTCAACTGTTAAAGTATTTATCATGAAAACATATTTTGGAGATGGATTGATGTAAAAAACATCTTGTTGTTTTATAATTCCAAATTGACTGAGTCTATTAAAATTTATTATAATAATTCAATCATTTTATTGCTTAGTGCAAATGATGCAGTTTATTCAGAGTAGGTTTGAAACCACAACGGCTATGAAAAAAATTCGTACGGTAGAAAAATCCTTTTTGGGAATCCTGTAACCATTATTAAAAACAATTCAAAATGGCAATTAATTAAGTAAAAGCGTCACTAATTTTTTTGCTCTATTTTTTCGATTACCAATTAGGAACTAAATTGGTGAGTCCTCAACTATACAAGATTTTTTCATTTCTTCTCCACAACATTCTCTACTGTTCCACTTACCACAGCTATAGAGAGCGCGAGGATGGTGCATCCAAACTTGAGTGGCACCGAGTCAGACTTATCCTGGTTCCTGGGGTCAGCACAGGCACACACGACCATCACTAGGAAACATGTGGCGAAGAACTCCATGGCGACCGCCTGGACGTCTGTGAGCCCCGAGTGGGGTAAAGTGCAGCATAGATTGGGCGATGCTGAGGTCAGTACGTCCGGAGGCGTCAGCAGCTGTATAAGATATGTAGGATGTTACAAACGTCAATGGGAAGAGGTAAAAGAATTATCACCTCCTAGAATTGACATCCTAGACTTTCAGCCTAGGTTCAGGCAAGGTGCAGCACAATTTTGGTGATACTGAAGCTAGTACTGGTGGCGTCAGAAAGAGTACAATACATAAAATGTTACAAAGGTCAATAGGAAGAGGTGGAATAATTGTCACCTTCTAGAATTGTCGTACTATACTTCCAGCCTATAGTTAAGGCAAGGTGCAGCACAATTTTGGTGATACTGAAGCTAGTACTGGTGGCGTCAGCAACAGTACAATACATAAAATGTTACAAACGTCAATAGGAAGAGGTAAAAGAATTCTCACCTCCTAGAATTGTAATACTAGACTTGCAGCCTTGGATCAGGTAAGGTGCAGTACTATTTGGGTGATGCTGAAGCTAGTACTGGTGATGCAGCAACAGTACAGTACATAAATTGCTACAAACGCCAATAGGAAGAGGTGGAAGGATTCTCAGTGACATCCTGGAGTTCTAGCATCAGACTTTAGACTTCTAATTGGCTGGGGCAAGGCGCACCACAATTCAGGTTTGCTGTTGTTTATTATTTATTGTTATTGTTTATATTTTATTTTTTATCACTGTTTACTCATGAAAATATCGAGCATAATAAGAGCGTACTGTGCTACACATAACTGCCAAAGTGTAGACTGGTAGTAAACATTTTGCTGACAGTTAATATGCTCTGTATAGCTTGGTGTGGAAATAGTTGAGTTCAGCTAAAACGATCTAACGTACTACTCAGCATGACATTTCTCAGTTTACAAAAGAATTTGCATATTACTTCTTCTATCTTGCTTTTTTCTATATTATCTATAGTTGACATTAAGGTCTATCTTCATATTGTCAACGGCAATAAATATTCTTTTAGAGTTCAACAATATCATAAAAGCATACTAATCAGGCCCACATTTCAAATTCGATGGTATATTATGTATCTACAGCACACTTAGTTTGTTTCAATTGAATCAAGCTTGAATCAATGATCCCGTTGCTTTTAATGTTCTCGGACGTTTTAATGTTTTTATTTTATTTTTAAAATTTACTTACCAGTTCTTACTGTTTAAAACTCACCATGAGTAGTCCATAGCCTAAGACAGCCCCAGCAACTTCGGAGAGAACGTAGACCAAAGCCATAGGAGCTGTCACTTGCCCCAACATCAGAAAGGCGATGGTGACAGCGGGGTTGAGATGAGCATTACTGATGTGTCCAAATATCTGTCAAAAATAACCTTTAAGTCTCTAGAAACTATTTAAGTTCCAATAAATGTCACAGGCTGCATGGAGAAGTTCTACATAATTTGTTACATGTCTCAGGTGAAGGATTGGATACGTGGGGGATTTATATGTGATTACTTTCATATTGCATTACATCTCAGGTGTCTACCTCGATACGGGTTTTAAAAAGTAACATCTGTATTTGTATTGCGTTGTTCTATTTGTATTTTTGTTTCAAGCCATTGGGACGGTGAGAACTACGTCCTCGTGACTAATGTCCACCATTAGACAGAAAAATTAATTGATAGTTGAATTACAATATATTTTCTCAGGCAAAAATCTACCCGCTTGATAGAACCAAGAACTTTCATACTCGAATGAGAGTACTGCACTAAAACTAATTGGCTTCCAAATAGTTTTAAGGGGTGAGTTGGTACAGTACAATAGTTATACTGAAAAATTCAGTGGTGGGCTCAAGAACGCGAACCTATGACATCACTGCCAAAGAACGTAGTCCAATGTGCTGTTGACTGAACCACAGACTGACCAAATGATGCAGATTAAATAAGTTTCTCCTATTTACCTGTATTATAGTTGCAACTACGACAGCAAACACTACAGCCCCTTGAAGTGGATGCTGCTCAACTTCAGGCACGAAGTTGACTTGACCCATACATCCGAAGAACAATAACATCCCCGTGCCTACAGTCTCGGCTAGGAACACCTCCAGGATCTTCCAGAACAGGTGACGCCATCTGTGGTGGTGATCTGACACCTGGCGGTGACTAGGCATCTCTGTAACATTACATGGTTACTATGAATCATGATTACGTTGTCCCATACAACCGAAGAACAACAACATCCCCGTGCCTACAGTCTCGGCTAGGAACACCTCCATGATCTTCCAGAACAGGTGACGCCATCTGTGGTGGTGATCTGACACCTGACGGTGACTAGGCATCTCTGTAACATTACATTGTTACTATGAATTTTGATTGACTTGACCATTACATAAGAAGAACATATACTATAGTCTGTATGATGGAACCTGTCTACAGATCCTGTCAACCTGGGGCTCTCCGGGTCCTCAGGTATACAGAGGGTCAGGAGACAGGTTCCATCATACAGACTATCTCAGCCTCATTATCAAAGCTACAATATAAATTGCGATTGTTTCCAAATGTTCTGTAAAATGTTGTGATGTTGGAGAAGTTTCTTTAAATAACTGCGTACAACCATGTGTATTTCATCCAATCTACTTTCTATCCATATTTAAACAGTTTTATAATGTCTATAAACAGAAAAAATTCCTATAGTTGTTTTCACCTTACCTTACTTTAAGTAATGTAAGGTGAAAACTACTATAGACCTTTTTGATATTTATATCAAATGACCATGGAACATGGAGTTAAATAAGAAAATTATCAACAAAACGATGCAGCTCTTAACTTCTTACTAAACAACGGCAAACACTTGTTAGGTAATTTCTTCAACAGCCTATTAGAAATATCAACTAGTAGAAAAACTGCTCCCAATTATGACGATAATATTTTTGAAGTTTCTTACTAGCTCTCTAGCGCAAAGATTTGTGTGGAAAACTATTTTTCAGCATCTAGGGGAGTACAAACTACCTGATGCAAACTATCTTGTCAAATTTTGATCCCACACACGATGTCAACTCTTAAAAGCCAGACACTTTTAAACCAGCTCAATACAAAACCCTCACAAATCAAATGTTCCACCAACCTCGCTTCTTCCTCATCTTGACTTTCACATGTTTATTGTGTAGACTCCTCGGTTTCTCCAGGAACGGTTTAAAGGCTCCTAGCTCCGTCTGGCTGTACGACGTCAACGAAGGAGGCCTTGGATACCCGGGCATCCTCTATCACCACAACCACCGGACTGATAAGAGGCGGGACCCACGTGACCTCTCGAGATAAGTGCTCAGTGATAACAAGACTTAGACTACCGAGATAAACGTATTGTTGACAGGTGACTATTACGAGGCGTTGTAATGGGTAGAGCAGTTTTAGCTTCAAATTAGAGACATGTCATGGAATATACTTGAGAGTTTTGTTGTACTGTGTACATTTGGTTTGTTCTATATTAAATCTAGTAAATGAATTGAGCATCGAGTAGAAGAGTACAGAGTGGTTGCTTTTTAAACTATCTATACTTATTTCAATAAGGACTTTCGTTGTAACATCCCTTTTCCAGTCCTACTCCACCGATTTTAACGTTTAATTTTAATACTAGTGTACCTGTTGCTCGAATTTGAGCAATTGCGAAGCATTACAGGCGACTCAAAGATTATGGAAATACTCACGATCTACACAACAGTTAGATATAATCAATATCTTTTGTAAATATCTTATCTTTTTTCAAAAAGCTTATCTTGTTTTTTAGTGTTTTCTAAAAATTTTCCCCTCTCATAGCCGCATTAGGTTGTCTATGACAACGATTATAAATGAAAAAAAAAATAATTTCTATTTCTTCTTCTTGGTTGTGTTCTATGACTTTTTCTATGTTTCCATTGTTTGCAAATTGATTATTTTGATGATTGCTCAAGCAATGTAGAACAGTGTTAATTCAGTTTTATTTTTAGCCTATATCAAATTGGCCAGGATTTCTCGCTCTTTTCCATTGTAATAATTACACCAACCCAAGTTTCGTCTACAGATGCAATATGCCAACGAATATCACCTACGTACAATCACCAAGAAGTGGTAAAAAAGGCAGAAACCAACCCATACAATAAATAGAAGTTAACTCCAAAAGGAATAATTTTAAGAGTTACTGTGATATTAGGATTTTCCACTGATTTGGTAATAGAACATTATATTGCAAAACATGAATCGATGCAGAAGAAAATCCAATTTAAAATCAGAAAAACCCATTGCAAATAGGCTACTGTACTTCATTTTGACAAATTCAATAAATCACAAATTAAATATTAACAGCTGTTTCATTAAAAAGTAATGTAGAATTATGCATATGGTCGTAATGTAAACAAATCTGAAGAGGCAACTTTAAAGGCTTCTGGGGCAGAGCCCCAAGGGAATTTACCTCGTTCCTCTTTTGATGGCTCATCTACAGACCAAGACCTTTCTTTAGATACCCCTACAAAGTTTCTACGCCCAGCCGTTCTCTCAAATTAGCTATGACAAAAACCCCGTTTTCCTCCATAAGAATAACATGGGATAGGAATTTAAAGGCCACTGGGGCAGAGCCCCAAGGGAATTCACTATGTTTCTCTTTTGATGGCTCATCTACAGACCAAGACCTTTCTTTAGACACCTCTACCGAGTTTCTACACCCAGCCGTTCTCTCAAAATAGCTATGACAAAGAAAAACAGTTTCAAATTAATATATAGATAGTCCATTTTAAAATATCCAGTGATGCTGACCACCTTTTTTATCACAGTGACTTGTAATTTAACAGCCAATCCTTCAATTGAATGTATAACCAGTCAGATTGTAAATAAGAGACTAAACAGTTGTTAACAATGTATTTTAATTATGCTACTCTTTTGACAACACTATCCTAAGCTGTCCAAAGCAAACATAATCTTGAAAAGGTAAATGTGTATTGCACTGGATTAATTTTGCCTTGGAAAGTTTAGAACCCTATTAAACTGTACACGGGTTCCCTCTACTTTCGTTTCTCTGTTTTAGTACGTTTTTGCTATGAAACATGTACTACTATGGTATTATGAACCATGATTTTTCAATTACAATGCAGAGCGGTTGGTTGAGGTGAATTATTAAAATGCAGAGTTTCTATCCAGGAGACTGACAATCACTGATAGGAATGACCAATGGCCTTTAAGCTCGCAGTTCGCCCGTAATTCGTAGCAGTTCGTACCCACCCTAAGATATCTTAAACGAAGAGAACCTTATCCATGTGAGAGGACTCTCTATACTAATATTGATACGAAATCTGCAACTATTTATAGTACAGTATACACATCCTCACGTATTACAGTAATTGCATTTTAAATTTTTAATATTGCATTTCCCACATATACTAACTTGACATTTTTGTATCCCACCGTCAACTATAAAAATTACATTAATTTACTCGGTATACAAAACAAGTTTTTAAACTCTAAAACAATTTCACAATAAAAATAATAGCTGTAACAAGCAAAATATAAATACCTTGTAAAGTTTAGGAAAACACACACCCTTATTTGCTCCTTCCCTGAGGACATTCCTAACAAGCAGTTCTCGTTGAAATAAAAGTTCACATGCATCCAAGGTACGTCTGCGTATGACAGCCTTATCAAAACTTAAGAACAGACAGGTTATAAGCCTCTCAGCGCTTGAGTGATATCAAATTGGCTCTCAACCTGTTAAGTTTGAAGTGAATGTTTTGTTTCAACGAAAAAATAATTGTCATTGACTTTGGATACTGCAAGTAGATTTCTCATAGAGTAAAATATTAAGTTGCTTTCGCCTTTTATTACAGAGTGTGATGATGTTAGTTGCTGAATTATATTGTATACACCAAAGTTTTAAGAGAGTTAAACTGAAAAATACCACTTTTAGATGCACCAAAAACTAATTTTGTCAGTAACTCATCTGTGTGTGACTGGTTCGAGCATGTTCTTTTCTACGAAAATCTATTTAGTTAGTCCATACAGACGCGATGTCTACCTGAGTATCTAAAGTTCAACGATAATACCGCGGACTATATACACACACTCATAAATGGGTGTTTTCTATTTCATTAGATGAAGGTAATTTTAATGACTTTTATTGTACTGTACCATTTGAGTGCATCGATGACTAATTATTATTTTACAGAAATAATTCACTATCACAAAAACACCATATTTATAGCAGTGTTTCCCTTATTCTGTAGATAGTTTCATTTGGTTAAAGTAATTGTTTCAGTATTGTTAAAATAACAAATTAATAAGTCATTAACACCTAAACGCATCCTCAGGACGTAATAGTTTACGCAACGATAGCGTAAAGATGTGTTAACAAAATGAGTAGAAATATTCTACAAACTTCTACGAGTGTTGTTAAGACTATTTACGCTGCGTACACTACTTTGCCTACGACAGTGTTTTAATTACTAACAATCACTACTCATAACTTCTAAGAGAGGTAATGTTTTCGTTTTAACATCTCATTGCCACTGACAGTGATTCAATGAAACATTGTATCAAACACTAAATGCCCCAATCAACAATTAAATTGGCCCGAACAGCTGATTAGTTGAATTTCGAATCATTACAATTTTACTTCTCTATCAATCCTTGACCCTCATTGGTCCATTACCCGTGGTGTTAAGTAAAACAACAATGATGTTAAGTAAGTAAACAATGCTGTTATGTGAATATTATCAATTTAAAGAAGTGAACTGAAACACCTGCATTAAAAAACTGTCGTAGGTAAACATAACTGTCTAAGCTGGTCTATTCAGTATTTCACTATACATTAACACTAACAGACAATCAGAAGTTTACAAATCGTATTTGGTGGTACTAAATCGTTAATAAAATAGAGGGGCAATAAAAACCCACTCAAGAATTGCCAGACATAACAACACATTAAAATATCGTCTTCAGCTGATCCTCAGGATGATAAACCTACAATAGAGTAAATTGGAAGTATTGTTCAGTTTTCTACCCCAGTATGATTAAGCAACTCCCAATGCAACAATGGGAAGCAATATGATGGCGTTGACAGGTTCGTTTAACTTTATTAATTTAGATCAGATCTCTCAACGTTCTGCACACATGTTCTCGTTTAACTTTCAAAACTACCGTATCAGCCCGAAC